AAAAGTGGTCGAGTAAAAAAGTAAGATCACAAGATGAATGACAAAGTTTCTGTTTTGATTTGATATTATTTAATTTTTTAAATGCAAAGTGTTAATAATAGGTTCATCGATTAGATCAAATATCTGTTGAGGCATTCGAGTAAATGTAACTACGATATTTATTGTAAAATGCGATTAGAAAAAGCCTCACAGTAGAGTTTAGGGCATGAAGAAAGAAGAGGCATTATGCCGAAGAGGCCCCCACTTAAATGTGGTATCAAGTGGGCAACTACTATTGAGACTACTGAGTTATTTTCAAAGGTTCAACAGCAAGTTCGAACTCTTCGAAAATAGCTCTCTAGTCATATTTTATATTTTATTATATTACTGTTTTGCTCGTCATTAATTTGTAGTTGTAATTGGAGATGATGGACCCTTCCATCTCCTTGGCACACCAAATCTGTGTCTAAATTGTCCAAAAGGTGCATAAGTTTTTAATTAGTAAAAGTCAAAAATATTAAACATCTTGTATTATTCAATTTTAAAGTTTGATTAACGTTCGATAAATATTACAGTCATTTCTTTTTTCTTGTTTCTTATTTAAGATTTTTTACTGTGATAATATATTTTATTAAATTTGTAATTTTTCTTTTCTATGTAATGCAGTGTTTAAAAAAGTATTTTATAATTATTAATAGAGATTATCTTTTTTAGTAACTTATTATTTGTACTTTTTCTTTTTTTTTTATATAAGTATATTTTATGTAAATGTAAAATCACGCGTTAGAATTTAATTTTATTGCAACGATAATTAGAGATTTGTTAAAAGTAAATAGAGAATTCAATCGAAAAGTGCATCTGCGAATTGGACGATTTGTATGTCAGGCTATTGTATCGCTTGATTCTATGATTAATATAGTTTTCTTCTTGTTACAGGTGATCACCGTTGGATGTATCATCTACTCGTTTTGATTTCCTTCTACTTGAGCTCCTAATAATGATTACTTTTTTAAATAAATGCATTTCTGAAGGCACACACATGTTTATACACTAAAAATTAATTAACGACCATTTACCGTCAACAGTTTATTTCTTTATTCTCTTTTCTCCCTTTTTTGTAATTTATTATCGGAATGTTAAATAAAACGCTTTTTCCCTATATAATTACATAAAACTCTGCACACAAAAAAAAATGATTAATCGAATTTACAAGTAACGAGTACTAAATATATAAAACGTTATTATTAAATGCATTTTTTCATTTATAAGACGCTATGGCTTCCAACTAACATTATCGAGATACATTTGTTAAGCCCGTTTCTTTTCTTTTCTATAACATTTATATACAATTAATTATTACAAAATCCACATACATAGGGTTTGTGGAAAATTCAACGTAAGTTTTGATACGAGCTTAAGCACATTCTCGACAATGATTTGGCGGATAATATCGTAAAAATCGAGAAACCGCTAAATTTGTTTAGTAAGACTTCGGTTCGTTAAACGCAAAGAAATTGACGATTTTGAAATTATTTAATATATATATATTTTTTTTCTTTTTGAGATCTTTTTCTTTTTTTTTTTTCTTTCTCGAATCGATCTCGATCGGAAATTTCAATGAAATCTATTTATGCACACGTTTATCCAAATAACTTCCACAATTGTTATTAGCATTATCATCGTTACCATTATCTCATTATATTATTATTAATTTATTAATATTATTATATTATTATTATTATCGTTATTAAATATTTCGAGAGCATTTTATATGTCATGCTTCTTTTAATCATTTCTCATTGATTATTTAATCGATCCAGGGATTCATCGAATTTTCATATTACTTCACATTTCTTTTCTTTTTCTGGTTTCATGTTTTTAACGATAAATATGATTTTTCGATCATATCTTAAATTTACGAAAGATCTTATTCTTCTTCTTCTTCTTCTTCGGTACGTTTAAATGAACCGAATAAAGTAAGCGAAATACATTCTCTTGTTTGCCCGTACAATAACTTTCGTATAATAACACCTATAAAAATAACGCATCTACACGTTCCCAAGGATATCTTTACAGAACTTTACAGGATTTTTGCTCGCCACATGCTGCTACGAGGAACGGCGTTTTCATTTTTACGCCTCCTATTATTATCTCATCCGAAAAATAAGGAAATAGACAGATAGATGGATTGATAGAGATTGATAGGTAGATAGATAGATAGATAGATAGATAGATAGAGAAATAGAAAGATAACGAGCAACGATGCGAGCGAGTAATACTGTCCGTCTTCCAATTCTTCTTACGAAGATTATACAATGTGTTTAACGTGTTCTCCTTTGTGTATATGTGTGTATGTATCTCGTAAGAAATAATTAACAATGCACGTTTGATTATATTCGCCATTATTCATTTCCCTCTTTTTCTTTTTTTTTTCTTTTTTCTTTTTTAGATCACAAATTAGGATCGTTAAGTCGTCAACATTAGAGACTAATGATTATTAAAGACATTCAAGCGAAATAGTAAACTCATTTTCATCTTTATTTGAAAGATTATTCGCTCATTCTTGTTTTCAGTTATTAATCGATCAAACAATTTTGAACATTTCGTAGCCATTCGTTCTTTTTTTCTTAATTTTTCTTTTTTTTTTTTTTCTTTTTTTGGGAGGAATAAAGTAGACATTCAAATTTGATGAATTTTGAAAATGGCCTTTTCTCGGCTATAATAATTCGAATTAATTTGAAAATGTTCATTAATCGTACACATAATACATGCGTCGTAAGATTTCATTTGATTATTTTACAATGAATTTTCTTCACCGATCAAACGAAGAAAATTACAATAATTTTATACATTTTTTTTATAATAATAAGCTTTACATATTTTTACACACACATACACGCACGCCCATACACAAATTTATAATTAACAGTAGGTTTGTATTTTATCTCGATGAATATGTTTAAAACTATGAAATTCAAATGAAAAGAGTTTAATATCATTTTTCGTTATCACAGATGACAAATATATTTGTTTTTCTTTCTTTCTTTTTTTTTTTTGTTTTTTTTTTTTGTTTTTCAAGTGCATCAAACCAACAGGGAAGCTCGTGTACGTGTATGTATGTGTGCATCTGTGGGTAATTCTTTGTGTATATGCATAGGTACACGCAATTAATGACGGGTTATAATAAAGAATTTCTAATTTACAAATATAAAGCTCGAAATAATAATTACGCGTTAGATTAATGTTAGATTTAACGTGATCAATCTTGAAATTAGTGTATATATCTGTTTTCGCTGTGTAGTATATGTTTCTCTCTCTCTCTCTCTCTATATATATATACATATACAAAATTATATACAAATAATCTGTATTATACATTTCCCCTTTCTAGATTTCTTTTTGTGTTTTACATCACCGATATCTTCGTTACTCCTTATATATTACATTAATTCTTTAACAATTAATGTTTCTCAAATGATCGAACAAAAAATTCATCATCATAATACTGTTACAGATTCCGTAATCACGATATCGATGATCTGTTATTTAATATTTGATATACATCAATACAATAATATCTATACATTCGAATAAATTCTCATCTTTTTCCAATTTTCTTTTTTTTTTTTTTTTTTTTTTTTTTTATAAAGAATAAAACAAAAATTGCAAATATACACCGTTCGTGTGATCTATTCTACAAATCGAGTAGTTTATTACATTAATTTTTCAAAAAGAAAGGGAAAAAAGAAGGGGGGAGGGGCCACTTTCGACTTCTTCTTTTTTTTTTTCTTTTCTTTTTGATATCCTCTTTTTTTTTCGTACAAGATCATCGTGTATATATTTTATTTTCTTCTTTTTTTTCTTTCGGCGCACACCTACACTTCATCTAATTATTTATTATTTATTGTTTTTGCTTTGTTTTTTTTTTTTTTTTTTTTTTTATTTCTTTTCCTCCTTTTTATCTCAAAGACCACAAAGTTTTTTTTCGATACAATTAGATTGTTAAAAAACATTTTACACCTTTTCAAGGATCATTTTGGATGGAATGATTATACGTTAGATATATTTATATTTATATATATATATATATATATATATATTTTTATATGTATGTATATTAGTCTTCTCGATGCATCTTCGTTGCGGATGCGGCGGTGCAATTTTAATAACATTGCACCGTTATTTTCTCAAAAAGAAAATTCCGATCAGTCGAATTATTGTTAACTTAAAGCGGGTAAACGAAAATTAAAAAAAAAAAAAAAAAGAAAAAGACAAATTAAACGTTTATAAACGTGTGCTTTCTAATTACTGCCACAAACTAATTTCATTAATTATCATTATTATTTTTAAAAAATCCCAATATCATTTGTACTTGTATCTGGAATTATATGTTTAACGAAATGCATGAACAATAGATATATATACATATATAAAAGAAAAAAAAAAAAAAAAAAAATAACATATAAATGGCAAGATAAATCGTAGGAATGCAATTGCTATTATTATTATTGTTTTCTTCTCTTCTTTTCTCCCTATATATATTCTTTTTTTCATTATTTTTTTTTTTTATTTTTAATGAGATTCAATCGATGAAAAAAATACACCTCGTTACCATATCGATGTAACTTGTGTATGTATTTACATACACGTTTACGCCGTTCGTTCCCGTAAAAATTTGTAGCAAAAACGATATTCATTAATACTGTCTCTATATATATCAAATAGTTAGTAACAATATTAAAAAATTTCTTTCTATATTTAAAACCACGTACTACGGTATTTTCTACGAAGATTGCAAAGAGAACAGATATGGGAAGAAATAAATCATATTAGAAATTTTATAAAGAAAACAATAGACATGCAAAGATTCAATGATTGTTTAACATTAACGAGATCAAAATTAGTAATGTGAGTTATCGTTCAATATAAAATATCATACATCCTTCTGGCTTTCTCTATTAAATTACATGAAACGCGTTCGATGGCTGTTTCTCTTTGTTTTGCTTATCTTTTCTTTTTTGTTTTTTTTTTTCCTTTTTACATATTTTTACAAAGCAGTACTTTCTATAGGAGATGACGATCTATTAGGTGTACAGCACCTTTCAGGACTATGACTGACATCCGGTGTCAACCTACCATCATTCAATTTGACGAAACCTAAATCTGCAAAAAAATCGCTCTTCATAGTACCAACTGCGCTATCGCTACCAAAACTATCTTGCCTGCATAGATCTAAACTTTTGTAGCACTCAGCATACTCGGCCAAAGCATTTGCCGATAATTTAAATCCGCTATCATAAAGACATTTCGAGTTGATGACCGAAGTTTTGGGATCATCAAGCATTGCTTGCGTATTTTCTAAACGATGAGATATTATGTAGCGTTGCCTTTCGTCCGTTCTAGTAGGATCCAATGGAAGATCACGTAACTCACGATTTTGATATGTTGTACATCTTTCTGTTTTAACTTTTGGTTCTAAATGTTCTTCTGCGCTTTTTAATATATGATGTCGAACAGAAGATAGATTGTTGTCTTTGATTTTAGATAGACTACCATATACCGTGAGACTTCCTTGTCTAGATAATATACTACCAACGTCAGAAAGTACACTAGCTTGTCTAGATAATTCTTTATCTGTATTCTGATTTGGAACCAACTCTTTGGCACTTGACACTGATGACGTTGATTGCATTGACTTGACATCTGTCGAAATATTATCCTTTACCTGAAATGCATTTTTCGTAGTTTCCTTAGTCGGTGATATCCTTGTCCTTCTTAAATAAGAACCAGTTGAGGATTTTATCGTCTCTCCTGGTGTCGTTGTCTTCTTGAAATCGGTACAAGAGTTAACACCATTCTGACTGTTAGAAGATTTATTTTCCTTATCAATCGTGCCTAATGTCTTTCCAATTTGCCTTAAATACGAGCCAACGATATTCCCTGCATCTGGTATCTTGAATTTTCCATCCTGCTTTGTTTTGTTATTTGATGATGTGCTTGAGTTAGATCCACTGGACTCCCCGCTCATGCTTTTTGTATGCACATTATTATTATTATTGCTGGTGTTATTGTTGTTCAATTTGTACGAACATTTGTTATCGACTTTATAAAATTCAGACGGATTATCGGAGAATTTGCAAGGATTTGAATTTCCTACGTATCTTATCTTTTCAAGAGTTGGTACTCGGTTCAAATTGTGTTCAGTCTCATCGAGTCTTCCCGCATCTTTCGATTTACTATTCTGACGTAAATATCGATTACTATAATCATTGCAATCGAGTGATATGACGATATCTGGTTTTTCTCTTTCCACTGGTTCTTTACATTTCGAATTTTGTCTCGTGTATCGATTGGAAGATGTTGCGCTTTCATTTGGTTTACTATTCTGTCTCGTATATCTTCCTCGAATGTTTATCAACTCGGAACTTCGAGGTAATTCTTTGTCTACACATTCAAATTCCCTTTCGAGTGTACTATCGTCGCAACCACTCGATCGTTTCTTTTCCTGATGCACTTGACCTTCTTTAATGGGTTTCAATTGTGGAACCAAAGTCTCAGGAGTTGTTGATTCACTACTGCTCGGACTAGGTCCCGTGTAATGTCTTATATCAAAGTCTAAATCATGTGGTAATGCTGCTCCTACAGATAAATGCATTGCTAATCCTTCCAGCCAAATTTTCATAAGTTCAAAAGGTGGTCTTTTGTCTGGATTTAAATCGCAACAAAGGAAGGCGATTATATAAAACGTTTCCGGACAATTAGCACAAAATTTTTCCTTAAATGCATTTTGATTTAATCCAAAGTCCGAGGATCTTGGTAAATAATCAGGATCAGCTTGTACTCGTCCTATTATCTCGCAAACGACTATTCCAAAACTGAATATATCTACTTTTTCGTCGTACTTATTACCTTTCATCATTTCAGGTGCCATCCAATATGGATTTCCAACCACCGTGTATCTCTTCTTACGTTCTTTCTTAGATGTCTTTATTTCTCCACCATCGGAATGTCTATTGTATTTACGACTATCTGGGGTATTGCCGTTTTGTATGATCCTGGCTAAGCCAAAATCTGCCACAACAACGGTCTTGTCTTCTCGTACCAAACAATTGTGGGAATTTAAATCACGATGAATGATATTCATGGAATGTAAATATGCCATACCAGCGGCAATATCTTTTGCAAAAGATGTTCGTTGTTCCCATGGTAATAATTCGTTGGTATCATGAAGAAGAGCTCTTAATGTGCCACCTGATATGTATTCAGTAACTAAATGTAGTTTCTTGTCTTTGTAAAGAACACCGATGAAACGTAGAACATTGTTGTGATGTAACGAACGTAATACTGCAACCTACAACATTTAGAGAAAGATTATTATAAATATTATACGATAATTCTATATATATATTTTGTAAGAAAAAACAATTACTTCTTTCAAGAAATTCTTTTGAGCATCTTCGTCTACCCTGTACAATTCTTTCAGCACCATAACTTCATTCGTATCTCTGTGAGTGACTTTAAAAACTTGTCCAAAGAATCCTTTTCCCAGAAGTTCACCTTTAACCAAATCGCTGGCTCGAAATATTCTTTGATTTTTTGGTTCTACGCGAAAAGATCTGGTTCGACTTAAGTCACACGTAGGATTAGTTGGAGTTGTTCTGTAATTATCGATAATACCATATAAATTAATTTTTAATTCACATTAATGAGATCACAACAATTTTATCTAAATGTTTACCCGTCTAATAGACGTGACATTGAGCTGCTACGTTCTTTGTGCATAGGATCTCGCGTTCTTCTTAGTTGTCTACTTCGTGTACCACTGATATAACCCTCGTCACGACGTTTGAAAAGTCTTTCTTTACCTTCCGGACTCGTTCTTGGACTTGCAGTTGTCAGTAATGCTGGTGGTGGTGAAGGAAATGTTAAACGACGTGATACTGCATCAGGATCATGTTCAATGGTCAACTGCAAATAGTGAATACATTGTAATATTGTTATCATGAAAGTTTTTTTTACATAGTAGAAGTTTTACATACCTGTAAAACTGTGTCTGAATATTGTATAAGATTTTCTATGCTTTCTACGGGTTGATCTTTAACAGGTGTACCATTTACTTCTAATATTCGATCTCCAATATGTAAAGACATGAGATCACTGGACATATTTAATCTGCAACAATTTATTTTACTTATATTATATATTCGTAGTTCATTATTTTTAGAATACACGTAGTAGTAAGTACATGCAATATTCTTATGTGCATTCAATTGTTGTATAAGAACACTACAGTACCAAGTACATCGCTAGAAGAGACAGAGTAAACCATTTCAAATCGTTCTCTTTGGTATCTTCGATAATATTTTTAATAATTTTTCATTTTCTAATGCTAACACTCTTTCCATAAAGCATTAAAGTAGATAAAAGCTTCTAATGATTATTATTATGCCATTAATATTAGTATACAGTTAATATTAATTAAATATTTAGAAAAAATATTGTATACAGTTTGATTTAAACATATTTAAAACAAGCATTAACAACCCATAATAAGACATAAGATATTTTTGAAAATAACTATTCTATGCTTTATAACAAAGGCTTCTTTTCTTATTTAATAATTTAGAAAAATATATAAATATTACTAAAATGTGTAACTGAAATAAATTTTTATATACATGTGCATGAAGTTATTAAGTACATGTATATCAGCCATACGTATAAAATACATAACTAATATAGCATAAATTTTGAGCATAAAAAATTGTAATTGTACAAATGAATTTGAACGAACATGCTTATTTTATAATACAAATTTGACAACAATGACAATTAAAAAATATATAAAAACAATTAAATGTCGTTGATTGAACCGTGACAATTAAAATCTAATCATGCATCTAATAATAAAATGCGCAATCAATTGACTATACATGGTGCATATTATTATTTGTTATGCTGTACCTATGATTAGAGAAGTGGCAGCATAGCCTAAACAGAACCTCCATCACAGAGGCCAGCAGCTTACTGATCTTGCCACGAACATTTCTCATTAACCTGCATTTTTGTTGAAAGTTATTAAAGGGCTGCATATCTTTTATAAGTCCTTAAATAACCATAGAATTGTGTCATGCATGGTTAATTATTACAAAGAAGCAGCAAGTTTAATTTTATTGTATAATTATGCCAATATAAATATGACATAATCTTGAATTTAATTTATTTACAATTATCTTATAACTCAAAATGTATTGATATATTGACTGATCCAGTGTAATAACTTATGTACAATGGGTTTCATGCTGATACTTAAAAGAAAAGTTCTTTTATTTCATAATTTTTGGCAATTATTATAATATATAGAAAAACATCGACATTTATAAATTTACGTAGGCATAATTTAAAGAGAGTATGATGGCATATAAAAAACATTAAAAACATTTGATGATAACAATATAAAATAAATCTATGTATAAAATACACATATAAAAATGAGGTAATAGCAAATAAAATATTACAATAGAAAGAGTTATTAATATAAATATATATATATAAATAAATGAAGCATTACATAGAAGATAAGAAATGATTAGGCTATAATTTAGAAATTATAAATAATATACTTACGCAGAGATACGAAGTAATGCACCACAACTGCGAGGATTAGGAGCTGTATCCAATGTGAGTTTAATTTCTCGTTGCTTATCAGAATTGGTTGTACTTGGAGGTATTTCTACGAGTCTTATGCTATGTGGTTTCCTAACAAACGGATGATTAGCTGTTCTGCTAAGCGGCTGCATTTGTCTTTTGTAGCACACTCCACAGTAAAGTTTAGATCTTTCAACAAGCGCATAACTCTCCCCGTCTCCAATAAAAGCTCCACATGAATTACAGGCAAAACATTCTGGGTGAAATTTGTGATCGCCAGCCAGCATAACTGGTCCAGTAATGATATGACCACAACCTTGACAGGCTTCTCCATATGCAGCCAAATAATCATCTTTACAAAAAAGTAAGCCATCTTTCTCAAAATACCAAGAGGAAAGACCAATGTCGCATACAGAACATCTATCAAAAATAAAACATCGATGAGAAGGAACAAGTAATTATAATATAAACAAATAATTATAATATATGAACATAAGGAAAAGTGTTTACCGAAAACAATCAATGTGCCATTCTTGACTCAATGCCTGTATAAATTCATCTTCATCTATGGCATTAAGGCAACCAGCACATATTAACGTTCCACTGCTGTCTCCTCCTCCTGGATCTAAATATCATATAAAATAATTACCAACTATAATGGCATTTATGTGTTACCTATTAACTGATAACAAAAATCTCTATTATATTATATAACTACTTGTAAAAAAACAAAAAAAGTAAAAAAAGAATAATGTAGAAAAATTGTTCATTAGTTTATGTTTTTTCATTGATTAACGTTACTTAAGACAAAAAAAAGAAACAAAGGGCGGAATGAAAATTAGTGACAGAAAGTATATTTAAAATCAAATATGAGTCGTTACATGACTCATATTTAACATTAAATTACGAGCGATAAGTAATTAACCAGATGACAGTTCGTATTTGCTTAATATCTACAAATAAGAAGAGTCAGTGTAATCAGATAATCGTCATATTGTAGATCTTAACGGTTGGATTCAAAGAAAAGCGTTGATACAATACAATATTACAGGACAACGCATAAATAAAACTATAAATACTAAAGCGTGGGCCAGGAAAGCAGAGAAGGACAGGACGCCCACGCGACATACAGATCATCGAGCAAAGACATACAATCTTTCATTAACTTCCTCCATACTATATATTTTTCTATAGCATATTCACTTTTATTTCAAGTGGATTATCTATTTTATTTCACTTTGGTTACCAAAATGTTTCAACGGGTTCTTTTTTTTTTTTTCAAAGAAAAACCTACCATTTGTCGTAACTTCATCCATCACGGCATCTAGAATTGACACACTACTACTCCCCCTCCAAGGTACAATCATAGACTATCTTTATATAAAAGATAAGAAAATATTCTACTGTTTTGTACTGCTGCTATTTCTTCATTTGTAAATTCAAATTGAAACGATGATGAACTTGTAAGAATGGAATTTAAGATATATTCTTTAATAATAGTTACATCAATTATATGTATATTTAATTATATTTATGTATTGTATTATCCTTTTTTTAATATGAATCATGCATTTTACACGGTGTAAAATAAATTGTAATTTTCGTAAGTTACAACTTTTATTTGTTAATTAAATGTTTAATGTTAAATAAATTAGAAGTTTTAATTATAGTAAATTACAATTTGTAATAGCTTGAAATTTCGCGGTTAATTTCTTATTAATTCACTATTCTGTTGATAGGGCAGCGCTTCCATTAAAATCGATCGAGCGGTTTCTAATCTAATATGTTATTAGATCATGTTTTCTAACGTGTCTTTAATAAATTTGTAAATATGGAATTATTAAAAGAAGTATCTGATTTTTTAAATATAAATACGCGATTAGATTTAAAAGCTGTTGCATTGCAAAATGTACTAAGTATGTATTATCACTTTTTTTTTTTTTTAAATTAACTTTATTTGAATTATAAAAAGATAGGTTAAGTTTGTGTATCTCATGATATACATTTATTTATAATTTCAAATATAGATATCACCGGTAGTAAAGAGGGTATCGAGCTCTTATTAGGTTGTTTAGATATATTAAAACAACTTGTCATACTTATGCAAGATGAATCAACTGCCATAGCAAAAGATGCAGCATTGTCAGCAATAAACATAAGCGCAGATGAAGCCGGAGCTACTGCTTTTTTAACAATTTCCGAATCTTTACAGGAAGATAAAGAAGAGAAATATAGTCATAACTTGATACACGTTTGTATGAGGTACAAATATTATAAGACAATTGTTGTTAATGCCTTTTATTATTTAGTATTTAAAATGTTATTTTTTTTCAGTTCTATAATGGACAAAAATAGCTTATTAGCAGACCCATGTTGTATGATACTTTCCAATGTGACAAGACCAAAGTATTTAGTAGACAGAGTTATAACACTCATTGAAAAAACTAATTATTCGTGGGATTCTGTTATGGCAGCATTTACCGCTAAGAAATACAACCTTAAAGGATCTAATTTACATTATTTAGGACCTGTATTTAGTAATCTTACCCAATCTCCCTCTGTCAGAAAGTACGTTGAATGCTATCAAATGTATATGTTATTATTTTATATGATTTTATAATATATTCTTTTATTATATTGTTTAGATACGTAATGGATAAGACATCCTATGTTATCCAGCGTCTTCTTCCTTTCACAGAATACCCAGATAGCATAATAAGGAGAGGCGGCATTATTGGAACTTTGAAGAATTGTTGCTTTGATGTTGAACATCATGAGTGGTTGTTAAGCAAAGACGTTAATATTTTGTGTTACTTATTATTACCTCTTGCTGGACCAGAAGAATTCGATGAAGATGAAAACGATAAATTACCGCTTCATCTGCAATACTTACCTAATACAAAAAAACGAGAATCGGATCCAGATATTAGGTATAATTATGCATGTAATAAGCGCATATGTATGTGCATTAACATATTCTACAATTTGTTCAATTGTTTCAGGATAATGTTATTAGAAGCTTTAGGACAATTATGTGCCACGAAAAAAGGAAGAGAAATTTTGAGAGATAACAACACTTACGTTATTTTAAGAGAATTACACAAATCAGAAAAATCCAAAGAAGTCCTCCTCGCGTGCGAAAACGTTGTCGACATTTTAATCCGGTATTTATCATATTAATTGAAATAGTTTTTCTTATTTTCTTTTTTTTCTATATTTTTGGACATTGTAATCATTGCATTTTTTTGGGGGGGATATTTCAGAACTGAAGAAGAGATCGGTTTGGATAATATTAAAGATGTAGATGTTCCAGTGGAATACAAGGAAAAGTTTGAAAAAATGGATGAAGAATTTATTAATAGTACTTAAGGAATACTAGTATTACAAGATGTGCGACATCTTGTTAAATACTTTCATTTTATATATATAGCATAAGTTATATTTATATTGTGTAAATATATATATTACTTTTGCTCGACAATAAAATAATGCGCAGATGTATTTAAGAAATATATTCGCGAAGAATATGTATACATATGTAATCCACGATATTGCACTGTTCCCATAGACTATTAACTTAAGCCATTCAGGTCAAAAGTAGCAAAAGCATCAATAATATCGATCTCTTTCTTTTAAAGATATTATTTAATATCTAGAAAGAATCAAAGACTTATAGAACAGAACAAAGTATATTTAATATATGGTATCATTCGTTTCTTGTTATTTTTATTTGCAACAGGTACCATTTTTATAGAAATTATATAATGCGTTATTTTCTTCTTTCTCTTCATACTAGAAATCAAGAAATAAACTTTGATCGACTACAATATGCTTCTGTTACTTCACTAAACTTGAATTAGCTATATAGCTTTGAGATCAAGTTTTGATATAATTATAAAAACTCATTGACAGAGCAGGAAACATTACCATCAAGGTAGATACCCTAAACCAGCTTCCAAACTGATGGAACTTTTGATACTGGATGCGTTACTAGCCCTCCTACAAATTTTATTCGAATCTGATCCAAAGACAGCAGCAATTTCAGCACTCTTTTTTATTGAGAGTGCTTCATGATGAGCGTCGGATCTAACGTTACCATGAGAGAAACATTTCTTCTCTCGTTCGGCACCTCCAACGTAAACCAAACGACCTTGTGTGTCTCTGGCACTTACAACCAATACCTTCTCGCTATCAGAAGATTGCTGAGATTTTCTTCCTGGACTGAAAAGGTCATAATCCAAAGCTAAGTTGTCCGAGCTACCACAAACAGGAGAGGATTGAATCTGAAGAGAAAATAAAAAAAAAAAGAAAAAAACTTTGAGCAATCGCTAATAGAAGATTGAAATGTTAATGCTAATTCGAGCAAAAAAATCTCTTTAGAAATCACCTTCAATAATTCAGAGTTATGAGAAGAAGAATGACTCCTAGAGGTTTTTGATGACGTTATTCTATCAGGACTTCCACCTCTACTTAACGTGCTCTCCGAAGGCACAATACCTTTTTGTCTCAATTGTTCCAAGATGTTGGATCGTACAGGCGTCTTTCCGCAATAACATTTGTTGCTTTCCGAGCAACTGTCCGTGTCGCAGGCACACACTACCGTATTCGGGAGGATAGGCTCTACGAGTTGTCTTCTGGACAGGGAACAATAACATTTATCCGCTGAGATACAGGTGCAGGATTCGGAATCGTAGCTGCATTCGCTGCAACTTACGTAACCACTGCTGCTTCTGTTTGCAGCTGCTCCAGTGTTGCGACTCGCTCGTCTACCTGAAGAAAATTAATTTCATTTCATTCGATCGCGACGAATTTTTCTTCGTATTTTTTCTGTCGACAACATTTACGTACACGTGTCACTGTCCTCCGAAGTAGTGTGACACTGTCCATTTTTGTTCATTCTCCAGGATGATCGTCTTTTCCCATGCCTACTAGCCAACACGCGACTTCGATGATTATTCCTAGCATCACAAGACGAGCTACTTCCAAAACTGTCGTTCAATCTTCTGGCAGGAAAAATAACTGATGTGAATTCAGTTGGTCCACCTTTTAATCTCGATACGGATCTCTTGATAGCACGTCCTAAAAGACAAGGCCGACGAGTAGATCGTCTTCTCTGTGGTCTACGCCGTCTTCTCATTATACTAGCAGATCTTTGATAAAGCTCGTCTTGTGTCAAAGTTGCGGCAAGTTTTAATAAAAATTCTTTGTAAAGTGGCTTGAGATCGTTAAAGGACATACCTTCTGGATCTGAAAATAATATAATTAGAGTATTATAGATCGATCATTGTTATATTGTCAGTTAATAATTAATTAATTATTTGTTTTTTTTTGTTTTTTTTTTTACCAATAATAGCTGCTAAGATATCATCGACGCTGGTCAAGCCTTCCTGATTTCTAAATTCATCAAACAGTTCAGTAAATCCCAAAGGAGTACCGCCTTTCATATTGTTTGCTATTCTGGTACTTCCAGGTTTCAAGAAACTCGCTCGTCTAGGCAATTCCACTCTAGTCATTAAATCCCCTCTTTCCACGTCAAGATCACTTTGAGATCTCTTGAGTTTATTTTCTTGAACAATTTTCTTGGTACTTTCTGTTCTACCGACTGGTGGCTCGCTGCCAGCTCTACTTCTCCTTCTAACTCGAGGTTGACTGTATTCCGGTATCTTCGGATCAACTTCTAAATCATTAGAAACATTAGCCTTTTTCAAGGGTTTATCCATGGTAACAACTCTACAGAGTTTTGTCCCGGAAGATGTATTTTTTTCTCTGTTCCTGGAACAGTGTTTATCTTGAGGAATCTTTCTACAGTCATCGTACGTATCATTTTTACGATTCCTCGAGAAGAAAACATTATCTTGAGAACTGTGGACTTGTCCACGATCTATCTTTTTATTGCCGCCAACGTAAATATCCTCTTGATCAAGACTATAGATCTTTTCCGCGTCTCTGAAGTGTTCCTCGTAGATCCTCTGTCGATCGCTCTTCGTACTTTGCATATAAATCGGATTCTTCGTGCTCGATGATTTGTCAATTCTATCGTAAATCGGAAAACAATCAGATTTTTTCGAATAAGATTCCATGGTACTTTCAACGTCAAGACCTCTTCGAGAAAAATCGTAAGATCCATAATTTTGTTCACTCGACGAAACAACCTCGTCTTTTCTTCCTGGCAAGTAAATAGATCTCGAATTAGTATCAAGATCGTTGCTCCTTCTAGATGATAATAATTTTTCATAAATGTTAGATTGGATTCCATAAATGCTATTGCTGGTTTTATCATCGTAGATCTTATCAATACGACTACTTGCTCGATCCATCTCGTTTTTCTCGGTTTGCTGATGATCTTTCGAACATTTAATATTATCCTTCTTCTCAAACTGTTCCAAATTCTTTTGAATTAAGCTCACCGGCTTGTCCGGTTTGACTGGTTCTCTTCTACATCCTCTAGCTTCGAGTATGTCTTCAGCTTGAACGTCCGAAATGGTTTTCTTTTTTCTTCTCGGTGCTTTCTGAACACCAATGGACTTGTTGCTCTCGTCTTCGGTGGCTGAATTCGAAATAGAATTTTTTTTCGACCTCGGTGGCCTTATCGGATGAGGTGGAATGTTCGGTTTTGGTAACGGTGATGTTAATAAATTGCTTTTGTTACTTGGACTAGCTTCTCGTACGCTGGAAACAACCGATGCCAAACTAACGCAACCCAAACCATTTGTATGTCTAGGTCTTCTTCGATTTCCATCAAGATCAGCTAATAATGCTCTGTACAAAGTAGCCGCAGCAGCAACAGCATCTTCTTCCGTTTGACAAGCAAATGCATGACACTCCAATAATCTTGCTGCTCCTGCTCGTCTCATTACCACAGCGAAGATTGGTGGATAAACATCAACGTTACTTTTTAAACCACGCATTGTTCTATACAAAAAAATTATATATATGTATAAGTTTCTTTTTAATACAAATTTCTTTAAAAGGAAGTCGAGATATTAACGTATATATATATATATGTGTACATTTTTGTAAGAACTAGGACAAAAATAGGTGTTCAAGAGTATGAATCAGAGTATCTTAAAGAGAACAAAGAACAAGTATTGAACCTTTCACCAGTTAATGACGTGTAAATGGATTCAAAACAATTCTTCATCAACTAATCCAGTCTCTTGCATCAGACCAGCTGAAGAATATAGCTTCTATTATGAGTGTTAGATACCCATAAATATCTAATCGCTGGATTTAAAATGGTCATTCGTAATTTTCTAATATAAATTTACCTATAGAGGTCAGCGTGCTTGTCCTCGGCCCCTTGACCTTGATCAGTATCTCCAACCAGTGGCAAGAAAGCATAATGAGACTCCCCTGATGGAATTTTCCTACATCGAAGTCTCAATGCACTCCAAACGGCTATTCTACGAAAGGGATTGTTCTTCTCACATGTTTCACTGGTTCGAAATGTCAATCCACGTCTGGAGACTTCTAATTCCGCTTGGATTGATCCATCGATTTTTTCTAAAAGCTGACGAAGAGGTTCTTGAAGACCACGAATGCTAGCTACTCGACCACCAACTGGAGCAGCACCCATGTACTTCACCTAATCGATTATAAGGGTTCATTTATAAATCTTACAATTGAAAAATTCATAATTAGTTCAATTTAAATTTACGTATGATATATTTTTAAACAACAAAATTAAAATTCGAAAAGTCTACGGGGAAAACTCATAATTAGATTTATATGATTAAACAAGTAATCCTTACGTTAACCAAATGAATGATTTTTAAAAGAAGATTCGAAGAAGTTTAAATTATAACTCGTCACGCTCCGTTAATCGTGAATGAAATGAAAGTGACGATTAAAAATTCCGGGAGTACGTTTGCTATGCAAAGGAAAGTCCCTTTGTTTCTTTCTTTCTTTATTATTATTGTTATTTCTTTTTTTTTTTTTTGGTCATTTATTCCTTTCTTTCTTACAGCATCTTACATTTAGTTTAGAAAATAAACGGTCACGATTATTCGCGAAATCGCAATGATTCTTCCTAACTTGTGCGATACGGGTTACTTAAAACTTTCTTTTTCAACTTCTTCGTGATATCTCGAATCATCTTCTCTCTGGAAAATGCTTTTCTAACGCGTAACTGGCCGCGACTAATTAAACGGCGATCTAATTATAAGAATTTTCAACTTGTACGAATCTGTATCGAATTGTTTTTCTTTTTTTTTCCAACTTTTGTAATATTTCATTCTATTTCGATTGAAAACATTTTCTCGTATTTTTCTAAAGAGTGAACATTTTTAACAGTGATGTTAATAATAATTGTGGGTTGATGATGATTGCTTTTTTTCAGCGTGAATAAAAATTTCATTATTCTTTTAACCACACGTTTTGTTGGTATGGTGTAAAAAGTAGCACATAGAAATAGTAGAATCGATGTATATAAATTTATAGTCATGCCAGTGTTAATTATCCACTCGTCGTTGAAAAGAAAGTTCGTTTTCCTGATCAATTTAATCCAGTATTATTATTCTCCTTTCTATTATTATAAGTTTTGTATCACTTAATATGAAAGAAAGCGTTGTATGTGTTGTTTAAGTTAAAATCATATTTTTTTAAGTGAAAAATTTCACTCTGAATTCGGAAGAAAATGAAAAATAAAAAGATAAAGATAAAGATAAAGAAAAAGCTAGCTACCGGCAAGATGGCAGCTGCGCATTCTCCTGGTGTTCCGCTTTCAGCCTCCACGGAAGCAAACATCGCTTCGATTCTTGCTTGGACCGCACTGTTAACTCTTTTTTGTTCTTCAAAACTTTGATCTTCGCAATGAACCGAAGTAACGGTCGAGACACCAGCGTACCACCCACCGAGAGTAGAACTGCAAATTGATCTGCAAGGTAAATCAATTTAATTTTGTACATTGTTTTATATAATCATCACTCATTAGGCTAAAAAAGGGTGAAAAAGTTCGTGGGGGGTTTTTTTTTAAATAAATATTTATAAAAACAAAATATCCATTATGAAATTTTATATAACATAATTAATTGTAACACACGAAACGTACGAAGAACATTTGTTTCACCCTTAACAAATGAATGACTAAGATGATGATAAACAATTGATCTTACGATTATTTCTTCCAATTTAGAATATTTTACCTGCAATCCTCGAAGAGGGCATCGATTCTAGCCTTGCTTCGAAGTGAACATTCCGATGGTGGGCCAGCCAATCGGAAACCATCCCCATAACAAGGCAATCTAGCAACGGACATCTTTCTTTCCACTTTTGGATACGTATCATTGAAAGAAAACAAATTATTTAGGATTGTTCCAGAACTTCCCCTCTCCCCCTTTCAATTCATCTTGATGGATCACTTTCGTTCTAAACACACAAAAATTATATTACGTACAAATATATTATTTATAAAGAACGTTTGTTTAAAATCATCAATTAATAACAATATCGAAATAGTAGACACGACATATAGTCTTTAAGATATCTTTGAATTTATTTTTCTTATTTCATGGTGTATGCAATCGTTCGTTCGCCATGGGGGCGTTAAATTTATGCAAGAACTTGTCTGCTATCTAGATAATTAAAACCAAATATAAGGCACAAAACGAGATGAAGAATCTTGATAAGTTGTTTCGGTATGATGAGAGGAGAGGAGAGGAGAGGAGAGTTGAGCGAAGGGTATGAGGCTAAGTTTAACGGTCTCTACGAGTAAAAGTACCGAGAGCGAGATCGAGCTTGTTATGTGTGCTATATGTTTCATGATTTCGAGGGAAAGCTAGTCAAGTTTTCTGTTACACTTAGAACACATTTAGTTAGTTAGTTAGTTAGTTAGTAAATAAGTAAGTCCGTTCTTGTTTATTCATAACTCACATACTAGATCATATTTAAAATGATTTTTCTAATATGATAATAAAGTCTGATAAGTAAGTAGGTAGGAGGAATAGATGTGTGTATGCGTGATCTGATTAAAAAAAAAAAAAAAAAAAAAAAGAATTGAAATAATTGAACCAGATGGACATATTGTGAATTGAAACCAAGATGATAATCCAAAAAATAAGATGAGCAAAGAAGAAACGAGATAAAAACGTTATTCTTATATTTTCAGGGGAATAATAATATAATGAAACATAATTTATCTCGACAGATGTGGGGACTGTGTGGATGCTGTGCAAAAGAACAGAAAAGAAAAAATAAATAAATCGGTTCACCTTTTTATATATTTATTCTCACGTAATAATGATTTACTCCAAAGTTATGTACTTTAATATTTAACGATTCGCAACATATAGAACGTAAATACGTGTAGATAAAAATTAAAATACAATGCTTCATTTTATCGTGCGAGCATGAAGAGTGCACAACTCGCGATTATGCAATTTAAAAAATTATATAACTCCGTAGTTTGCTTTATAATCGATCATCGTAGAAAAATATTTCACTGACTTTTCTATTAATAGCGAAGATTACGATAACGAAGGATATTGCAATATTAAATAAAAAAAAACAAACAAACAAAATGGAATCACAATTCGTATTAGAAATATTTTTCTAAAAAATAATAAAGAAAGAGAAAATAATAACAAAGTTTTAACTTATTAATACCAACGCATACTTTTAACTTTCTATTATTTTTCTAATACGAAAACTATNTCTAATATGATAATAAAGTCTGATAAGTAAGTAGGTAGGAGGAATAGATGTGTGTATGCGTGATCTGATTAAAAAAAAAAAAAAAAGAAAAAAATATACCTAATATACGCGGATCTCTTTATAATTTTTAATTTCACACATTTCTTCGATAGTTCCGCCGGAAATGTTCAACGAACTGTCGATTCTAATCTCTCTCTCTATATATACCAATAAGAAAATCAAATCAAATCAAATAAAGATAAATAGAAATAATACTTATTTCATTTATATACAAATTCTCGTTTATAATTGAAGAAACACGCATTATATACAACCTCGTGAAAGACACATACAGAAAAACAAAAAAAAAGAAAATGTACAGTTACCTATAAGAATCGAAAATTCTTCGAACTAGCTGTTATTCAATGAGAAATGGTAGATAGTAGAAGAGAACGAAAGAGAAGATCAACATCTGTCGAATAACTGTCTCCATTTCTAACTTTGATTAGTTTTTAGAGTGTAGTTCCAAGTATATGTATGTAACATATACGAGAATAAATAAATGTTAGTGTATACGAATGTGAAAAATGGCACACACGTTCTATGTGTACGTACGTACGTACGTACGTGCGTGCACATATGTATGTTTGTTTGTTTGTGTGTGTCTATTCCACGTGCTTTCAGTCCAACGCGTTCGTCTCTACGTGACGGAAGCGATTATCGAAAAATAGAAGATTACGAAGATAATTGGAGTCTCGGTTCGGACATGTTGTAACACAGAAAACCGTTCGTATATGATCGTATAACATGATTACCGAGTTCTAACGCGATGCGAATCCAAAAGAAAGCAGACACCTCGTGTCTCGGTTATATTATAACTTAATTGCCACATTTACCATATTATTTATCTTATTTTTATAGTAAACGCGATTATAGGAATGCCTTTTTATATTCATCTTCGTGCGTATTAACTAACTTCGTTCGTTCGTTCATTTTTTTTCTCTTTTCTGTGGATAATGAATTCACCAACTGACCAAGTTTTTAATTCCGTGAACAACTTCATCGTCATGATAGAATTCAATTGATCATTATTTATAAAATATATATATATATATATATATGTATATCATTGATTATAATATATTGATGATTATTTATTATAAAACAAAAATAGAATATTTAAATATGAATATTATGAAAAATATTTTTTGTTGAACGATTTAATATTTCTCTGTTATTTGTATTATCTTTAATTATTATCCGTAAGGAGATAATGATATTTTCTTGAATAATCTGTTAAACGAGTTTCAAAAAATTTGTTCAAGCAGATGGCTTTTTTTTTTTTCTGGCGTGTGACACGCAAACCGAAAGAACTTCTTTGTATATCACCTTTTAACCCAGAAAAGTTGGACCAGTTTTTATGATCACTCGAAGAAGGAAGTTTTCGATACCGGTCTTTGATCGCATTAAAGTTGTTGGATTGATATTACAACGATTACGACATCGATGATCGTGCTAGTAGATCTATGCCAGCATCGTTAAATCCGCAATTACCAAGTTCATGGCTCATTTAGTACACCTAATAGCTATAGATTTCAACGATCATCTCTTTAACGCAAATTTATTTTATTTTCTATTTCTATATACGTGATTTCTTTCTTCCTTTTTTTTGTTTTTTTTTTTTTTT